GGGACTGCTCTATTCGCCGGTTTTCTCCGGGTGTCGCGCGCGAGAGCGAGCGAGAGCGAGCTGCGGGATGAGCCGCGCTTCGCGACTGTTGGCCGGAACGCGAGCATCAGCAATTAGTCGGGAAAGGAGGGACGTATCTCTTCGTCTCTCCGGCGCATTTTAATAAGTTAATCGGGTCGCTTCTCCCTTGGGTACCGAGCCACGTTGCCCGGATGCCAGCCCGCGTTCCCGTTCGTCGACCAGAGGGACGAGTCCACGAGCGAATGGAATTTTTAAGATGGCTCCGCTATCGCCGGTATTCCAACGACCATACTTTCGAACCAAGCCTCGTGTCCCGGGAACACGCCACTCGTCGTCGCGTCGTTACGATAACAGCGCGCGTATCGTCCGCTTTCCAAGCGTCCCGGTTTCCACGCACGCTCGATCGTTCGAGGTATTTCTCATCGCGACGACAACCGTGAAATTACGACGATTTCTCGCCGTTTCTGCTCGCCGCTGATAAAAAGTCGGCTCGATGTAAATCACGGCGACGAGTTACGAGTCTCGCAGACGGTTACGCTTGTTCCGTCGGGTCCGCGAAACAATCGCGAGGATAATTTTATGACGCTTCGGGGTTAATTCGCTGGACGAGGTCTTATCCGGCGCGAGATTTACGTCCGCGGACGGTCGAGTTGATCGAGAACGATCGTACGCTCGCTCGTATAAAATTCACCACCGTGAATCCTCCTTTTTTACCCCCTGGATACGTTTCGCGTCGCCGGCGACCGCGTCGCGATTACCCGAAATTTACGCGGCTCGATGGCAATTTGAAAATAAAAAAAAAAAATAAAAAAATAAAAAAAGGGAGGAAAAATACTGCAAATCACCGTGCGCGTTTCGCGGCGATCATTCATATTTCACGGGCGTCCGTCAGCCCCGCGATTCATTCTTTATCACCGCCGGATTAACGTTTAATTTTAATTCGACGCGTGTAGTTTCGGCCATGTTCCCCCCCCCGATACGAGTGCCGCCTCTCCTTCAACGTTCACCAGACGGAAACGGAAAGGGGGGAAAAGGCGAGGGGGAGCGAGGGACGGAAGAGAAGAAGGGAAAAGGGAAAAAGACGGTGATAGGGAAACTTTGATCGCGAGCCATTAATAACGCGGCGCGAAGGTGAATCGCAGTCGGACCTAAAAGCTCGGAAGTAGAGTGGTCATTGGAGCACGCTTAAAGAAGAATCGCGAAGAAGCGCGAGGCTGAGGGTGAAGGGCGTCGAGGGGGTGACCGCTCGACGGTTGCCGAGGGATGTTGACGCAAAGCATTACGCACAGATGGTCGATGGACGGTTGTGTCTCGTCTCTCGAACAGCCAGCGGAGAAACAGAAGTGTACAGCTTCGGAGGAGCTCTCCCGATGACGTCGAGGGTTGACTAAGGTTAGGCCACTCAACGTATCGCGTACAACTCGGGGTGGCGAACGCGCAAACATTCGCATGCGTGCCCGAGAGTGTAACACGGACAAGCGTCTGCACGGTCCCGACCCTTTTCTCCACTGTTACAGCCGCATCGCCGAGTACATCCCAAAGAGGGTAGTTCTCGAGTAGAGCTGCTGGCAGGCCTGGTTGTACGGGACGTACTGGCAGGGGTGGGTTCGCCTCTCCTCTCCCGTCGCCGTCTATTGTTTAGTTATTCCGATGAGCCAGTGCATTTCAAATACACTCGAGCGGGCCATTATATCGGAGAACACATCGCTTCCTTTCGCGAGCCGGCCACGTGCGCCAGTCCTCTCTCCCTCTCTTGCTCTTTCTCTCTCTCTCTCTCTCTCTCTCTCTCTCTCTCTCTCTCTCTCTCTCTCTCTCTCTCTCTCTCTCTCTCTCTCTCTCTCTCTCCCCGCGTCTCTCGTCGCTCGCGCCGATCCGGACATTTCGATACGACGCGAGGCGTCGCGACGCGGGGCGTGCCGTTAATTGGACGCAACCGCGAAGATAAATCGGAAGCGTGCGCGGCACGCTTCGAGGGGTCCGCGATCGTTGCACCCCCGTTACGCCCGGCATCCACTTTGCCCCGTTCTTCGCGAGAGAACCTCGTTGATTCTTCGTCGTAAACGATTCCGTTCCGTGACTGGGGGGTGGCTGAACGGAGCGGAAGACTCATCGGGCCCGCTATCCCCATAGCGAGCGGGAGGGACAGAGAGAGACGGCGTATTTCGTTGTTCCACGCTTCTACGTACGTAGTTTCTGTACCTAGTATAATAGTTTTATTCGCTCGCCAGCCAATAAAACCGTGGACGCGTGTACGAAGGTTCCCGTCCTTTTTTCCTCTGCCTTTCTCTCCTGCCGGCTACACCGCGGCTGCTCCTCTTCCTCCTCTATTTCTCCTTTTGTTCTTCTATTTTATTCCGGTAAAAGCTGAAACGGTGAATAGGCACGGAGGAAACGCTTTTTATTCGATCAAAAGCGTGTTTTCGCTTGTTAGCGCGCGATTATCTGCCATTATTCGAAATTGAAAATACCACTTCGGCGAACGCGCTCTTCCTTTTTTTTTTTTTTTCCTCTCTACCCAACCGGGGAGGGAAAATGGTATTACCGTGATACTCGATTCTCTCGATGTTAATCCGGATTATGAGTCCCGCGGCGGACAGCGCGGAGGCGGAGCCCGAGAATGGAACAACAAAAAACGGAAGCAGGCGAATATGGAAATTTCTCGTAAACTTCAATTTCCATCCGGCACTCGACCGGTATAATTCTCCGCGGTTCCCATTGTCCGCCTAATTTAACTTTTCGCGATCGTTTTCTTTCCCGTTTTTCGCTCGCGTACGACCGGCCGCGCCGGTTTTCCTTGGCAAGACGAGGGGACGGGCGTGCCCCCCTCGCTTGTCGTTGTCGTTCCGCTCGGTTTGCCGACGCGTCGCGTGTCACGGAACAGACCTCGCGAGTGAAAACGTTGCAGTCGGCGGCGTTTAATCGAACGTCGAATGGAGAAGGAGCAAAGAGAAGCGATGACTGGGACGAAATGGAAGCAAAGCGAAGAACGGACGCAACGGGGGACGAGGAAGAACGCTGCTGGGCTCGTCGTGCGTCTGACATTATAGGAAATTAAGTTACCTTTATAACGCCGGACGAACATGGCGGGACTGGCGTGTACGGTTAGGTCCACGCCGGGACGAAGGCTGGCTCTTTTCCCTTAAGGAAAGGTCGTTACGCGGCTTCCGGGTCATGGGGTATTACCGGAAGAAACGGCGAAGTTTAAAGAAATCACGAGCAAGAGCAAAGCTCCTATGGCGGCTCTTACCTCGAGTAACGTAGCTCTGGCGAACGTTACTACCGTTTCCTTTTTGCCGGAACAGATAAACGGACAATACGACCGCTTTCGTGCTCGTGGCGCGGCCTCCAGTCGATGCTGGGAACGACTCGACCGGAAACCGGAGAATTCGTGCTTCCGTTGGAAATTCTCGGTTATCCGAAAAGTCTCGTGGCTTTCGCGGATGAGGATCGTCGCGACGCGGTCGCTGGCTTCGTCTGAAGCTGCCGTGCCAAGGGGAAGTTAATTAACGCTGACTTCTCGCCGCGAGATTTAACTCGGGACGAAATTTCGAGGGAGAAGAAACGGGTTTGCCGCAGCGTCGATCGGAGGTCGGCACATCTTCGTGGAAACCGTGTTCAATTCTTCCAGCCTTCTCCCTCCTATTTCTTCCCCTGGCGTGCTATTTTTTTCGCAATCTCCGAAGAGCGAGCGTAGCCATCGGACATTATTAACTAAAATATAAGGGTACACACGGCGAAGTAGGCATGCTCTATTCGTTGCACGTTCCTCCGGGTATTCAGCGTAGTTCGTTGGGCCGGCTTCCAGATGGGCAATGTTGGACGGAATGCGGAATACATCCAGGCGGGCCTTTCCTACTTAAATCAACATAACTCGGGTGATGAATGGTTAACAGGCTTCGCGGGGGACGCAATGCGCTCCATTTATGGAAGCTATTACGGCCGAATTTCAGCGTTAAATGTGTGATTTATGGCCACCCGTATTATCTTCGTTCATGTCCCGCCGACGATACAGTGCGCCCCCTATGCCGCCCCCTGTGCCGCCCTCTGTGCCGCCCTCTGTGCCGCGTCCCGCTCCTACGTTTCCGAAAATTACTTCGGGCTCGGCAAGCCGAGCGAAAAAATTCATCAACCGGTGTCCACGCGCTGCGACCATGATTAATGCCCTTCTAACTGCCGATTGAAACAGTAAGGAAAATTTATTTTGGCCCGCGAGCGAGAGTGCGCGAACGGAACGCGCTGCCAGGTCGCGCCGAATTTATCGCCATACTGCTAATCGTTTCATTAAAATCTATCGAAAACCCGTTCGATCCGACGCGTGGATCGTTAACGAGACTCTCGTCGTGCATAATACGTTATCGCGATTTTCGATTTTCAGACGCGAGGTCGAATCGCTGGCAGAGCTGCCTCGACAGCGCGCGATTCACTCCTGCGGCGGGTCTCTTTTAAAACGATCCGTTCAAACTGGTTCACCGTTCTATCGTGTCAAGCTTAGCCCTCGCGAGACACCGTTTCGTAGCTCCCCTGGCGCCGAACTTGCCGAGGGCCTCTCGATATCTACGAGGAACTCGAAACATCGTCTATCGAGTATCCGTTGTATCCCCGGGTGCCAGATATACTCTGTGCCGTCGTTCCCGACTCAAGTGCGAGTATCCCCGAAGACCAGCGCGTTTACCTCGCTAACGGCTGCGCGTGTGCGAAACAGCCCGACGCGGGTAAAACGTCGTGGACTTAATTACTATCCGCGCAAAGTACAATGCTAATCCTTTCACAACGGCAAAGTGCGCGGGGAGGTTGGGAACGAACGAGAGGTGTCACTTTGGGAACAAAAAGCCTGGCAAAAATGCGCAGCCACGGTATTCTAAAAGGCTGCAGAGCCGAGAGGGATGGACGCGAGTGGGGGTGGCTAGGGTGGGCGAGCGAGGAGTCGGGCAAAGAGAATTCGCGGCTCATTATGACGATACCTGTGCCGTTTGTTGCAGGTTGCGACGCCTCGTACGAGATGCAGGGGCCGAGCTTCGTGTCGGAGCCACCGTCGCGGGTGGAATTCACGAACGTGAACGGCGGCCGAGTGGACTGCATAGTGAGAGGAAATCCGGCACCTACCGTCGACTGGCTGGCAGCGGACGGTGGCAGTATAACGAGTATCCCTGGAATCAGACACGTCCTTGGCAACGGGACCATCCACTTTCCCGGCTTCGAGGCCGAGGTCTTCCGACAGGACGTCCACTGGGCTATTTATAAGTGTTCCGCCGTCAACAGCGTCGGTGCCATCGTTAGCAGAGACGTCACTGTCAGAGCAGGCACGCGAAACTTCTTGCTCGTTATCTGCGTTATGTTGTCTGCCCGGTACACCGCTTGCTTTCTCCTCTATCTCCCTTCCTCTCACGCCGACACGGCGCCACCCTTCTTCCTCGTCCAACGACCCTCCGCTTTCGTTCCGCTCTCGTATCGTTTCGACCGAGGCAAGCGGAAAGGGAGAGATGGTTCCTGTCCCACGCGGAATAACGCCGTGTTTTGATCGACTCGACGAACTACGCGCGGTAAATTCGTCGCGTTCCTGGTCCGCCGCGCTGATTCCCGACCAAGGGGGGCACACAGCTTCCTCGACGACCAGGCGAGTGTAACTTTGACGATCGTCCGACGCGAGAGGAAAATTCGTCGCGCGTACCACGCGATCCTCGTCGGTTGTTTTACATTAAACATCCCCGGCACGGCTCGTGGCCGCGCGAACCGAACCGGTAGCCAACGGCAGTTCCGGTCCTAGACGGAATAATTCATCCTCTCGATCGAGAGATGCTACGTCTTCGCCGGGTATGAAATATTTATTCCTATCGGCTCCGTGATTTGCTTCGCGTCGTCGCTGGCTTTGAGGCATCTGGGCGCCTTCTTTGCCCAGGTTGACGTATCTCTGCCAGACCAACGGAATAACGTTCGTCGTCGATAGTTTGTCTACACGAATCTCGTTCCACGGAGTTCGAACGATCCAACGACGACGAGTATACCTATGTACGTGGAGCTTCTAGTCTTGCAGTTTAAAAAACGTAAAATCTCGAGAAAGATCATTGCGAGAGGTTGTCGGAAGCGCGCAAACCCGGTCTTATCGAAGTCCGGGTGAGGACGGTGTCCTGGTCGTTTCCGTTGCACGGTGAAACCCTTCAGATTCGGGGAATATATTCGCGTGCTGGTTGTTTTCTCCGGCTGTTTTATCGGACGTTGCGCTGAAAAACCGGAATCCGTGACAAGATCCATGGCAGCTCGAGAGAGGGGTTGGTCGCGGGGATGGAAGATGGAGAGAGGTGTCTCCGCGAGGCGTCTTAAAAATAGAGCTTCCTCCGGGCCAACGAACCGGAAGATATCTTATCGACCTAATATGCCCGTAAATCATCGTCGCGTGAACGTGGCCCGTACCTTTTCAGATTCATACCTCTGCCGCGTCAGCTCTCGTCCTCCGCGTCACCGCGGCCTCTTTCCTTCCCGCTTCCTCCGTGTCCCCTGGCTCCTTTCGAGTCGATCAACTTCGCTGACTCTGTTCCTCGCCGGCGAGAAAAATCTCTCGCCGAACAACGATAGATAAGTGTACTCCTCGGAGCAAAACGGATGCGATTAGGCTGCCTAGCCGGTTGCATAGCGGGTTGCATAGCCGGCTGCCCGCGCCGGCTTACGTAGGCGCCGCGTCGAGCAACCCGCTGACTGCGCTGCAACTGCGAGTCGAATAACAAGAACTGAGGCCTCGCTTCCGTTTCCCAGGCGCCTTCGCCTAACCGCGCCCGACCAATCTCCATCCCCGATCGAGAACACGTACGCTTGGGTCGTTCGCGGAACGTGTCGCTCCACGAGCCAACGATTTCATGCGGGACCATCGAATCGACCGGCTCGTTCGACCGTACCTACCTTCCGCATCCTCCGACGCGAGATAATTAGGCTAACCGGGTTGATAAAGGGCAATCGCGAAGGGATACTCGTGTTCCACAATTGCCCTTCGCGAGTGCTTCGAACGGATCACGAGGGTCCCGGAAGGATCGTTCGACGTTCGACTTTACTTTACTTTGGTCCAAGAAAACGCCTTTCGTCTTCAAAATATAGAAAGAAGAATTCTAAATCCCGGGATAAACGCGAGGGTCGCTCGTAGATCACTTTAAACGCTCGAACCGCGGTGTCGCGATGTCGCTTACGTCTAACGGATTTGGCACGCACAGGTGGATGGTCGCCCTTTTGCGCGCGGACTTTAACCCGGCGTATTTTTAGCTTCATTCTTCTTTAGCGAACTATTTAAAGTGGCGTGCTCGCGGCGCGGGGCAAAGAAGTTAATTAAAGTCCTGGAAAGAGGAAATTACATTCCGGTAAGAAACGCCGGTCGGTGCTCGGTAATAAAATAAAAATTACTCTCCGCGTCCTTTGTGCCGTTTGCAACCACCGGCGGTCGCTCGCCGCTTTACAAGCGGAAAAATACTGCAGCGGTGTTCCGCGTCGCGGAAACGACACGACGGCGCGTTTCTTGCGCGCGAGAGGTCCGCGCGGACGAGAGCGGGCGTGTGCAGCGAGGGAAACGGCGGAAAAGGGGCGAAAAAGCGGCGAAATACGAAATGAATATCGGTGACGGGGAAAAAAGTGGACCCTCGAAGGAGCGTAGCGCGACGGCGGTGGACGAGACGCGGTTTAATATCGGCTTTCCACCGAACCGACCGTGAGAACACGGTCGTCGCGGCGGAAGCTCGGGGGAAGCTTAACGACGTTTGTACGAAAACAACGGGCAAGCCGTATTGTTCGCTCTCGTCGCAGCGACGTGGCGCTTTTCAGCTCGACCGCGACGCACTCGTGGCCGGGGTCCGATTTCGGTAAGACGTTTGTTTTCTTCCATTTACTCGGCACAATGGGTAGTACCGGAGTTATTCTTCTTGTAAATTTCGTTGTTCCAGTTTAATTTCGCGGAGCAGCAGAGAGGCAGAGACGACGAGGCGACGCGACAGGCTAACGAGAATCTCGACGACCGCCGCTAGCGTTTGCGTAAATGCCGCACGCATTCGCCTCGACTAACCGTTCCCTCGTTCGAGCTTTTATCGCGTTCCGCCTTTAAACGCGCGGCCTGATTAAGATACCGCTGCGGGTTTATCGACGTAAATTATTTCCGGCAGATTTGCACGCGTTTCGCAGCGGCGATGCGCACGCGAGAAGAGACGCGGGTGCATCGATCGCGCGATAACGGGTCGGGTCGAAGAGGACACGGTGGGATCGGCCATGATTGGCAAGCGAAACGATTATGCTCGGTCGCACGGCCGCGGCCATCGCCGAAATTGAATTGCTCGAATATAATGCATGCCCTCGCAGTTGAATTCGCGCGAGACGCGGGGCGTTTTACGATTCGCGGATACTCTTGACCCGATAAAAGGAAAACGTCCGCGGAATTTCCGCCCCGTTGCTCTCCGCGCGATCGTATAAGACACACTCGAGCCGTATTCCACGTGCTCGTAAGAGGACGCTTATAGTAATCTTATTATCGTAACTGCGCCACGTGTCTGCGTACGTCTCGGTCGAGAAACGAATTCGCTGACTGACACACAGCGGGGGATAGAGGGGAATAATTCCCGGATCAGCTCGGAAAGTCAGCTCGGAAACGCTCGCAGACTCTTCGGTTTTTCCGCGGCTGCGACGCAGCGAGGAAAGAACGATTATTTTTAATTTAACGCGACTCGGTCGTTCGCGACGAGCCGCGAGGGAACGGAATTTCTTTCGAGTTTCAACCGGTGTTCTTTTATTTGCCGCGCGAACGAAATTCGCGGAAATTTTATACGGAAATAATTACGCGCCCCGGGGTCGAGTTACGCTGCGAATCTAATTCGACAACGGCGCAGGCGCGCGCGCGCGCTTTGGGCCACCCTGGCTGAACGAGCGTGTTCAACTTTGTCACAGAGAAACTCCGTTGTGCCCCCTTTCATCTTGCGTTTCTGTTTCGCGGCCGAGTGACGTTCGTTCGTTCGTTGGCTTTTAGAAAATTACCCGAAGCCATGGCGATTTTTTTCATTTTTTTCTGATTAACGTTTCGTTACTGGACACGCGTTTACCCCCTCGGACGGTTCCCCGAATCCGATAGTCGGTGGAGGACTTTTTCGCAACCCCCGCGGGTCCGCGACCGCGTGGCGGATGATAACGAAGGTATAATTGCGACGTAGCAGTGCGTCTGGGAAAGGGCTCTCGGCTCGTCTCCGCGGAAAATTCTCGGCCAGCCGAAAAAGGAGGCGGATTTGGCGGCAGAGGCGAGAGAGCCGTCTCTTTCTGGCAGGTGGCTGCCACGGATGCAGAAGGCAGCGGGGTTAGGCTAGGACGGATGGGGCCGGCTGGAGTCGGTCGTTTCTCTCTTCCCGTAGGTTTCATGGTTTGTAAATATTACCTGCCACGATACGTCTGCCGAGTTTATGCTTGGCTTGGTTGCCGCGTAACCGAGAGCCGTGTGATACGGGGTGGTAGCAAGCCTGGAAACCGGCGCTGCGAGCAGAGGAAGAGGGAGAAGCAGAGGCGAACTCACCGAGTTTTTACCCCATTCTGGAGTCTGAGTGCCTCGCTCCGCTGACTCTCGAAACGGGTTGCACAGCCGGGTCCTACACACCACCACGTTTTCCTTTACCCACCCCCTGCTACTCCGCCGCCGCCTCTTTCGCCACCACCTCCTTCTCCACCGACTATCCCCCTCTAACCTATCTTTTTCTCCGGCACCGGTTTCTCGTTCTCTGCGTCCTTGCTTCTTCACCCTCTTTCAGGCCTCTGCTCTCTCGCCAACCTTTCAGCCGAGACCATCAACTTACGCGGAACGCTGGTTCATGGCCGGATTGGGACAGCCTCGAGATTTTGGATAAGATACCGCGACCCTTTTAAGTCTTGCAAACTCTCCCGAGCTCTCTCTCTCTCTCTCTCTCTCTCTTTCTTTCTCTCACCCTCTATAGCTCTTCCTCCATCGGTTCGGCGATTTTTCTTGCGTCGATTAACGACTCCGTGGGATGGGCGAAAAAGAAGGACAGTGTCATGCGGGTTTGCCATCGGGGAAGAAACGACGGTACTCCATCGAGCGAGCTAGAGTCTACGATTCGGCGGTTGTTCCTCGGCCGGATCGATGCGAACGTTCGCAAAAAGGGGGCATGGAAGTGCGACTCGTTTCCCTTTATTTCCATTTTCCCTCCGTCTCGTCTCCTCTCTCTTGTCGCCTAGAAAAATTCGCCGCAGGACAACGCGGTTTTCCCTCTTCTCCGCGCGTCTGCGCGACGATCGGCCGCGTTTACATCGGGTAATTATCGCGGACCTCGTCGAGCCCGGACCCCCTATTCTTCGCGAACCCACCGCGAACGCCTGCTCCGTTTCCCTTCTGCCTTCGATTTCCATCGCGACCTTTCCGGGAAGCTCGCGGATCTATAGCGCCGCGACGGTGGCCGCTCTCTCGCTATCGAGATTTTTTTAATTAAGAGTTCAGCTCCGCTTCATTTCGAGTCCGTCCGCTTTTATCCGGCTTTCAACCGGCTACCGTGAAAGTTGATTCCGCGGCGACGGGTATCAACATCTCGTAGCCGTGGTCGCACAAAGCCTCTCCGGATTTAATTCCGTGGTATCGCTGCTGCGCCCTCCATTTTGCCTTACACCCTCGCCGCGCCACTTAACAACTTTCCTTCCTCTCTCTCTCTCTCTCTCTCTCTCCCCCTTTCTTTTCCTTTTTCTTTTTCTTCTTCTTTCCCTCTTCGCCTTTACCGCCCGTGTCCTTAGCCAGCTTCCAGCGCGTAGACAATTATGTCGCGCGCAGACCGCCTTCAGGAACGGACTCGCTTGAAGAGCGAATTCTTGCGGCTCTCGTTAATATTCGATATCATCTCGGTTGGGACAGTCGCGGACGCAGTAGTACGTCCCACGGTACGTCAGACGTTAGAGTAGCAGCGTTACGCGTAGCTCGGCTAGCCGGCTAACGCGGTGTTATCGTAATTATATTAAACAAACAGCACGGTTAATAGAATATTCCAGCAGGGGCGCGTCGTTCGTTTCGAGAATTCCGCGGGAAATTCCGTGCTGTTTGCTCGTGGAACATGCACATCCGAGGTCAACATTCTTAGTCGAGCGAGAGTAGTACGTATCTCGGTGTACTCGATACTGTGGAACGGGCTTGGCTATCGATTCGGCGAAATAATTCAGTCCACGCCGGTGAAACAGCGCTAAACGCGACGAGTCCGGTAAACTCTCCGCCTCCTATTAAAAACAATCCGTCGAGCGGGTCGGGCAAACGATTGGAAAAACACGGGCGGTTGCTCGCTGCAAGGGGTCCGGCTGCAAGACGAACTCGTCGAATTTCTTCGTCCCGATCGACCCGGCGAAATAACGAAATCGCGCGCAGCCTGCGGCGTTTAATTGATACGCCGTGAATTTATGGGGATGGTATCGGGCCATGGGTTAGGTACCGTGGGTACCTATGAAGTCCGGGTTAATGAAGCCCCGTTTAACGTTGTTACGTTTACCAAAGTTCGGTTATCGAGGCTGCACATTGTACACCGCGGAACAATGAAAGGGAACAGACGGTGATTTACGCGGAAACGAATCGATGGTCGGGAATTTTCGGCGTATCCGACTGTTGGCCCGATGGGAATGCATTTCTGTCGCGAGCGCGGAAGTATCGCCAAGTATATGGAAGTAAAAACGCGGTAGGAAATGGATCGTGGTCGGAAAGCCGGGCGGCTCGGAGGTTTTCAAGAGCGGCGAATCCGACCCTGTCGGCCCCAGCTTTCGAGCCACGCTTTCGAGCGGCTGGTTGTTTGCGTGTTTCAGTGGTGAACCAGCGTTACGATCCGGAAGTGCAATGTCCCGGCGGTTTCCTCGGCAACAACGTACTTATGCGCTGCAACGTGCCCAGTTTCGTTCGAGACCACGTCACCATTACGTCTTGGCTGCAGGAGCCTTCCTTCAACATCTATCCGTCCACGATGGGAGGTGAGCACCGCAACCCGGAGGTTATCCTCTAATGACGCCTCCTCGTAAATAATAACCGGGTGAATTCTCGCGAAACGAATATCATCGTCCTACCGCTTGTTCCCGCGAATTTATTCACCATCCCGGGCCGAGATTCCACGAAGATGAAAATCACTAGCCCGTGCAAACTTGCTCTCTAAGCTTCGTATAATCGCGCAGACGCGGTGTTCGGAGAATCCATCGCGGGTAAATATCGAGCCCGGTTTCAAGAATCCTTCGCTATAATTGAGCGGATTCGAGGCAGGTCGAGTAACGTTTGCCGCGGATTAATCGGCCTCTCCGATTCGCGTGCCTGTTTCGCGGAACGCGCTTGCATCCTAGGGTCCCTAGGACGATCGCGCGCGTTGAATCTGACTCGGTTCGCGCGACGCTCGTGGCTATCGCGGTCGGTCGCTATTCGATAACGGGAATAAGAGGAAAAAATGGCAGTAGCCTTGCGTTCCGCCTTCGGACACCGCGCGGAACGTTGGCATTGTCGGGTACGCAGCGCGGAAAGTTTTCGCCGCGAGCGCTGCGAGCCCCGTTAACGAGGCAAACTTCGTTAATTACGAAGGAGTTCGATCGACGTGTACGCCGCACGCCGAACGCGTTCGTCTAATATACCGGTCGGATCTGTTGATACACTCGTCAATCGCGGTAAGGCGATCGATAGAAGAGGAAACTTTCGTCGTTGCGCGATTCGAGCGGATTTCAAGTTGAACGAGCTCGAGAAACAGTCGCGGAAAAGCAGCGCGATCGAATATTCGTCGGCGCCATCTTGATCGAGATTTTCTTTTCTGTCCCCACAGACGGCAAGTATCACATGCTCTCGAGCGGAGAACTGATGATCCTGAACATCACGCGGGAGGACGCGGAGCGAACGTATCGCTGCAGGACGCATCATCGGCTCACGCAGGAAACGGTCGTCAGCAACAACATTGGAAGACTTCAATTGACCGGTGAGTGCGTCAATACTTGCATAGTCTTGAAAAAATATACGTAGGATTAATGCTAGATTAATACTTTGACTGCCAGGTTGATCACATTTGACTGGTCACGGTTTCTCCTGTGACGTCAGGGTGGTCATTGTTGACCGGAGCGCCTGAACTACTTGAACTACATTGAACTACATTGAACTACATCGAATGAAAATTGACGGTTACCGCATTTGGAATATAACCGCTAATTAGAAGATACTTTGAATAATTAAAAATTTTTGTTAGAACAAATCTTGCATCTAGCGATGCACTTCCGTGGCATTCTGAGGGAAACTTGTAATTTCGGCGTGGCAGTCAAAGGGTTAATCCTATGCTAACAGAGGTCTGCGCGTCTGATAAGCAACGACTCCTTTTTAATAACAAAACAGATTTATTTAACTAAAATATTACGCTGGGTTTCGATAACGCACATTGTGCTTCATCCGCGCCATTGCACCCTTATTTTAAGTCTAACACACTCTCTTTTCACACGCAAGCTCTCTATTCGTTGATCACTCACGGTGGGCCAGGTATTTCAGACATTCAGACACGTTCCTAGACTTTCGTTCATTGCTTGCACTCAACCGGGTCATAAATATCTCATCCGTACAATTCCTGCGCGTGATCATTCACTCCAGATGTTACCCTAAACGTCTAAGCCGGATCCGATACCGCTCTCAATACTGTTTCCTTTGCTAGAGTCCTTCTCAGCTCACGATACCACGTGTATATAAAAGTGGACATCGACTGACTTCTCGTTTAGGATCATATCACATTAGAAATGGATCAATCGGTTCTCTAATCGCGTATTCTTCAGGGACAAACACCCGAGCTTCAACCGATACGCGTGTTTCAGCGACACCCTGTATAGCCCGGTGCAAGCACGAATAAGGTAACGCGTCTTTTGAAACTCATTCGCGGTTCTCTGTGGTACGATCGAAGATTGGAGAGTCAAAAGCACGTTTCATCCCGCGATACACGAGGTAATTAATGGACGCGTAAAGAGGTCCGCGGGGAATTTACGTAGTTGCTCTCGTTTACATTTACGTGGATTTTATTTCGCGATATTCCGCGCGGCGCTTCCGTCTGCTTTAAGGTTATTAAACTCGAGGAACGTTTGAAGGACTGTTTAGAAATACTTTGCGAGAGCGAGGCCATGTCAAAGACTCACTTGGCTCCCGCTGCTGATGCTTTATGTAATAATTGTGGAGTAAACAACGTCGCGGACACGGTTTATTAACAAACGGCATCGCGGGACGAAGATGGCGCCCGGGTCTAACGCGCGTTTAATATTTCTTCGTCCGTTTACGAAAGACCGAGCTCGACAACGGTAAACAGGGGTGCTAGGCAAAGGGGTGGAAGAGGGGTGTAGAGAGGAAACGATATTTCCCGTCCGTTAACGCGCTTTCTTCCGCCGGTTTCGCTCGTATTCCGCCGCGAAAGCTCGAACACGTTCCCAGCTCGAAGCTTGGCAAAGGCCCGTTAACCCGGGCTAATAAAGTTTTAACGCGGCACGAAGGGGGTTGCAGCGCGAACCGACGACGGTATTAATAAGGGTATCGAAAGAAGAGGAGCACCGTTCTCCGCAACTCGACAGAGATCCCATCGACGCGAGAAAGTTTCGCCTTTTTCGCCACCACAAGCCGGCGAGCGGGTACTCGCCGATGCAAACTTATTATTGCAGCCCGACGCGATATTTACAAATTTCTCCCGACAAACCGTTGCATATTCATGAGCCCCGGTTACTCTTCACCCGGAGCGTCAGATGCCGCGGATTTCCTCCCTCGATCCGCTCCTCGTCCACCCTCCTGATGGATCGCTTATCGAGGCCTCTCCGAATCCGATGGATCTTCGTCGAGAGCGTGAATCCGTAATTGGATAACGACCAGCGTCCTCTTAGTCGGAGGATCGAGATATTCGCCCCTTTTCTTCTCCGCCCTGCGTTCCGTTTTCGTTTATTCCTCTTTATTAAATTTTTAAAAACCTCGACAACGGTGCTGCGAATGGAAGAAAACGAGAGGCCAGCTGCCTCTCAGAGGATACTCCCTCGAGTTTCAAAGTAGAAGAACTGGATTTCGTGGATGGTCGCTTCGATTTCGATTAAACGTTTCTTGGTATCCGCGAGTGATCTGCAAAGAAAACAAGGTCGCGCGGGGGGGAGCAAAAGGCGAGAGAAAACACGCGGGAAAATCTTTTCCCAGCTTTGCTTATCGTCGCCGATTGTCTTCGTTTCATTGGCGGTGGAAATTGCCGGCGAAACTTTTGTCGCCACGCGTCGCGTCGAAATTGCTCTTTTCCCTGCTCGTATATCTCTCTCCAATTTCCAACGTTTCCCAATATTTCCGAATAGTTGGCAATATTTTCGAATATTCCCAAATTTCCTCTCACTCGCCTCGCGTTTAACGCTTCGCTTTATCCCGTAAATAAGCCGGCGCGGTAAATAGTCCGGGTCTTCTATTCTCGTTGGCTGGAAGGGATTTAAGGCTTCCTCCCAGGAGATTCGCGTAAAAGTGCAAACGTCGTGTCTCGCGCCGGCAAACATCGCGATATTACACGCTTGCGAACCCGCGATAAACTCGCATCTCTGCCGGCGGTGCACGCGCGATCGCGATTCGATGTTACGCGTTTAGCAGGGCTGATCGATCGGCGGCCGGATGGTAGCGGGCCGCGCGTGAATGGGAAAAAGGCTTTCCGTCTGCGAACGAAGTTCAGGGCGGTTCATTAACGGACGGGAAGCAATTAGACGCCTTATTTCGCGCGGCGTGGATACCAGCCGTCGATAGCGGCGTTTGACCGAGCTGTCTAGGATTGTTCCCCGGGTCGCGAAATTTCCACGAAACTTACCTCGTTCAGGGTTAGCCTGGCGCGCGGAATTGCCTGCCGAATTAAATCGAACATCGCTTGAATAAAAAAAAAAGGAAAAAAAGAAAATGAAGGAAATGGAGAAAATATTGGAAGCCAGGAAACAGGAAAATTGGCGAATTTAAAACGCGTGCACCCTTTGGAACGCTTTTGCCTGCGACGCAGCGCGGGTTCCGTCTGCTCCGCGTCGTGGAAATGGAAGCACAGCGAAGGGGTTAACGAGGCATCGCGGATGATCGACGGTCGATCAAAGTAAAAATTCTCTTAGCCGCGTAATTGGCAGGCTCGGTGCGGCGAGGCCCGCGATCGAGAGGCGGTCTGAAAAGGTTTGCCGGTGGTTCGAGCGGAGGCTGAGGCATCGCTTGTTACCCAGGCGAGCCGCCTCCGCGGCGTAACGTCTGCTTTGGGGGTTAGCTGCTGCGCCAGCGAGGCTGGAGGAGCGCGGCGGGAAGAAAGGGAAAATATAGAGGCGGAAAGGCGAAGGAGACGAAGGCGGGACGCGGAAAAGAAGACGCGGAAAGGGGAGAAATCTCCACTCGAGCCGGGCTAACTAATGATGCTTCTCTTCACATGCCACACCTACCCTCCAGATTCGCGTTGAAGCTTCAGACGTGCCTATACGCGATGCGTGCGATGCGAGAGAAGGGGAGAGAAAAGAAGCACGCAAGACATTCTGCACGTTCTTCGCTGGCACTTTTCCCCTAGCAGCACGTGACCGATCCTCCGCGCAGAAAGCGTCATAATTCATCGCTCGTTTCCTATCCGTCCCCTTATTCGCGTTTTTCCCTCGTTTCCTTTTTTCGGTTCTGCCCTCGGATCCTCGTCGTACCTGTTTTCCTTTTTTTCCCCCTTCCTTTTTCTCTCCTTTCCTCTCTTTCTCCCTTCTCGATCGCTAGCGCTCTCTCCGTATATCGACCTGTCATTCAGTCGATAAGTCTGCGCAGGCTGCCGGGGAATAATTAATACACCGGCGGCTTAATCGCGAGCCACGGATCCGCCAGCAGCCTCTCGTAATCACCGCGAAGGTAAACGAAAGTGCAGCGAAAATTGGGTTCGCGATAACGCTCGCCGGATAACGCGCCGCGTCTCGTCTCGGGGGCTCGAACCGGCGCGACGTGTCGCGATTCATTTTTAATCGTACTCGTTCCGCCGCCAAAATTATTATTTAAGCTTAATCAACGTTATTACGGCTGCCCGACGATTATTGCGCAGCGCGACACGGCACCGGACACCCGACGTACCCGACGTACACCGACGCGACGAATATCCGCGCGGACGCGGCTAATTCGAGGCGGAGCTGGTACTTCTTCACCGCGATTTATAGGAGCCGCGCGTTGCGGGGCCCGCAAAGACCTGTCCGTACACGGAGAGGACGCAGAGGGAATACGTAAACGGAGGCGGAAAAAGCGGTAGTCGGGTCTGAAATGGCGTCCGTCATTCGTCGCGTTGGTCGTGGATTTTCGCGAATGGTATTTAACGATACACCGCGATGGGCGAAAAGCGTGGAACGGAATGGAACGGAATGGAACGGTGAATCGATGGCCGCCGCTGGGGTTGTTTGCGATTCGCGAGTACGTTTTAATGGAACAGGGAGGAGTCTGCGGGCGGTCGCAGACGGTCGTTGACGGTCGTTTGTCGGGATCGACGTTACGCGAGATACGCTGAAACTGGGTGATGTTTACCTGGCGGGATCGTGGGAGCGGAAAGCGGGCGAGCAGGGAAAATTCGCGTCCCCGGAATTGTTTAGGATTTCTAGATAAACACCGGGAAATACACCGGCAGTCTTGTGTACGCGCGCTATCTAAACAGTGATTACCTCTAACCGGATTGCAAATTATTATTAGTCCGGGTAGAGCGTTACGGCGCCGGAAACGATACGTCGGGCGCAAGCACCGCGTAATTGTTGGCTTTACATACGCTCGCCGAAGATTTGTTTGCGATAATTGGTTCCTCGTTTAACTCGCGATCCGGCCCGGTCTACGCCCGCCCCGGACCGATCCATAACGACCGTATATTCGATATTTTTCCGCCAGTCACGCGACCCCCGGCCCGGACCGTTTAATTTATGGAAAATAATAATAACAAAGTCGTCCGGGCTGAAATAACTTGCGGCCTGTTTGCTCTACGTGTTCTTCGCGGAACGAGCCTGCAGCGTAGGAACAATTTAGATTATCGGGAAAGGCGGAAATATACTACGCGGGAGATAATGGAGCCGAATGGGCGGAGATTTTATCGTTCTTACTACTTACCCTGTCGTTCCGGCTTGTGGTCAACGCGCATGTAAACGGAATTCGCCGAGGTCGAATTGCTCGGAACGTAACTCGGGCCAGACGTTATTACGAGTTATTAGCGAAGTAATTTATCAGGAATTTCGAGCTACTGGCGGAAAGCCTTCATTTCTCAACCATTAAACGTATCCACCGCTCGCTCCTCTGTTGCGTCGCGCCATTCTGAAACGAACCAGAACGAACTGAGCGATAAAATCTACGCTTGTTATTAAGGGGTTACAACGCAAAGGAATGGTTGTCAGTGGAAATGGTGGAAAAACTGTACAGATCTTTATTAAACTGGCGAACAGTTAGAATTGATCACTTTGGAGTCACGCAGGTCACAAGATGTGTCCAGAAAACGGGAGACAAAAGACAAAACGCAGGAAAAGGGATCGTCCCGACATCGCTAGGATATTGAGTTTGCTTTACTGTTTAGTTTTCACTGCAATACCTGTAAAGGAAATTAGGAAAGATCATCCACTTTCGTCTTCCTACGCCTTCGATCTTTCGACTGTTCGCGATGACCAATGTTTCGTTAACCAGACGAGAGTAGATCCAGAGTAAATCCCGTTCGATCGAGTTCAAATTTTGACGGAGAAACGAACAGCTGTCGCGAAGAGCTCCCGATTCTTTCGGCCATTCGTTCCGACTCGTAATAAAAGCCGGCCAGCCCAGGGGCGGGATAGAAATTTATGCTAAGCGCGCTTACATACTTGGGAACTTAATAACGAAGTTGCAGAGTGTGCTCGATCGTTTACATATTCCGGACAGTCGTCCATCGTCGTTTCTTGGCCCGCCCTCGGTTTGGAATACACCAAATTAACCGAAAACTCGAGGCACGGCGATTTTCCCGGGTAACGAGCAAACTTTTTGAAATTATCCGTCCGTTGCGGTGGAAAATTCTCGAATGCCATTCACGGCTGGTCACGTGTTCCACGTCCTGGAAATAATTCCATGCAAAACGTCGCCCTGTCGTACCTCCCTCGACCATCTCCCTCGCCCTGCGATCCGACCCCACGCTGCTGCCAGTGTTCCCCCGGAAAGCTCGGGATTTTCGCGAAAGCTCGATCGCTGCCGTAAATCTAGGCTGCGATGAAAATCTACGCGAGCCACTCGACGTTCCGCTTTCCCGGCTTCGCGCGGAAACGCGTTCGGCTGGCATCCATTGCCGGTTAAAAGCCGCGCAGGCCGCAGGTCGCAGGTATCTTGCATTCGGCGAGAGTGTCGCGTAACGCGCGGTAATGCAACGCACACCGGTGTTAAATTGCTCCGCGAGCCACGCGTTGCGCGTGACACGGCGTCGCGTGTCAGTCGGTCGCGGCACGCGGAAAAACGCTCGAGCGGTTATCGGCGAGGATCGATCGCTTGGCCACAGAGTGTAGCCGAAGCGTGGAGACACGCCGATGGATCGGGTTCGGGCGGATTTGGAGGCAAGTTGAACCCGCGCGGAGGCAGCCGAGCCAAGCTAATGACGCGATATTCCCATGGTCGATCGGCGAAAAACGTTCTGCTTTAATTACACCGGGCATCGTTTTCATCGCGAATGCACGGCCCGTTTTGTTGTAATATTCATTACCGCATTATTACGATGTCCCGGGCGCACGCGGCGCCGCTAACGCGCTCGTTCCTCTCGCTGCTTCGCTCCGAGCATCGCTAATTACGCGAATATCTGTTAATGAAATCTTAATGAAACGAATGGGTTAATTGCGATTTCATTGACAGCGGCGGCGAATAAATACCAGCCGGTATCGGGTCGCGCGTTCGTTCGACGTTCGTTCGCCGTTCGTCGGCCGGAAGGGTGAAGGAGAGGAGAGACAGGGGAGATGTGCCTTAATGGTGCGCGCCGGTGTGCCAGGCGATTTGAAATTCTCCGCCAACACCGGCACGAGATATGTACATCGCGGTTATCTGTCCCTTTACGGTACGCCACGTCGCGAGACGAGCCACTATCTGCGACCATAATTCCCCATTAAACGTCGCTCTGACGCCTTCCTTTCCTCTTTTTCGTCCTCTCTTCCTCCTCTCCCGGTTCTTCTTCCTCCATTCTTCTTCACGGCCTCCGTCTTGCCTTCTTCCCACCCCTCGTCTGCGTCACCGCGAAGAACCTTTGTTCCCGCGTTCCTTTTTTCAGCCGACGGCTATTTATGACACGCCGTGGAAAACATTTCCCGTATATCATGGAACAAACTTACATGAACTCGTCCTGAGGGAGGCGGAGGTGCAGCAACGGCAACAGGGGTTGGCATCGCGTCGCTGCCGCAAAGTAACCCCCGGCTCGGCGCGTGTACGTGTGCCACGCGTGGCTGTGTCTCGCCATGGAACACGCCTGGACCATCTCCCAGGATGTATTTCCTCCTCCGCTTCCTTTCTCGACCGTTGCTTTCCTTTCCCCTTTCTTAAATCTCCGGCGATATTGTCACTATCAATTTTCCAAACAATGTAATCCAATACCGTTTCCCGGGCTCTTTCCTTGCCTCCTCGTCCTGTGCTCTCTTCTTCCGTTTCTCGGCTATGGACTTGCTCGCGCGTCCCTCCGCGCGTCGCTCGAGAACGGGCCAAGATCGCCGTTCAGCAGAATTTCATTTCGCGATATACACCAGTCGGCGTTTAATCCCGGCGCTGTTTCATTAAACCCAACCTGCGCGGGACCGCGAGCTCCTTCGCTCCTTCAATTTCGTCGGCTGCCGGAATATATTTCGCGTACAGCGCGGCGAAAAACTTGCGCGAACTCATCTACGACCGGATGGCAGAGCCGAAGGAGAAGCCATGGTATCCGGGCGGCGGAATATTTCCGGGAAATATTCGCCGTCCGTTCTGCCAAGGTTGTCGAAAATTTTACGGGGAATTTCGTCGAATTTCGTCGAATTTTCACGAATTTTCGCGCATTTTTCGCAGACAAGTCGGACCAGCACGGAGAGAGATATTTCTCGATTGTTCCGCGCGACGTTTTCCGCTTTGTTCCGTGATTCTCCGCGTTATCGTTAGAGGATTTATGCCATGCCTTTCTGCTTTTTCTGCTTGCAGAGATACGCAGCTCCATGCCGCCGATGATAAACGAGAAGGTGGTTTACATGTCCGCGAGGCTGAAGGACACCATCGTGATACCGTGCGTCGCTTATGGCAATCCGACCCCTACCAACAGGTAAGAACCTCGCTTCTCTGCGAATTCGTAGATCGAGGCTCTCGTAAATTCACGGTAAGATAACATTCTTGGAAAGCAGCCCTGATCAGTGAAGGAAAGTACCACTGGGTACCACGCGCGAATCTCGCAAGTCAGCCTCTGCGTCATCCAGCTTCCTGGACATCGCGCGACGCGTGGAAATTACTCCACTTTCAGTTTGCAGGTTTACGACGCGACTACCCCCTGAGAGTTTTCCCAAGATTTCCCGAGATTTCCCGACATTTGTCGAGATTTCGAAACGTGACACGCATCCAGCCGGATCAAACCTCCATGACCCTGTTCTCGCGGTATTCGAGGTCTTCGAGGATGAATCTATCGTAGGCCTCGCCTCGCATCTTGTTTCCACTTATCTTGATTACGCGCGGCATCTCCGGTCGCTTTTACCGAAACGAGCGCCGCAAGAAACGAGTTATTGATCCTTTTGCCGAACGGAATGCGGTTTCGTTGCCACAAAGTCCGTTTAATTCCCCGCTTTCTCGGCGAGCGACTAACTTCTCCTTCGATCGCGGGGAGTAGGTATGTCGCTCCGGCTAGGAAAAGTGGAAAGACCGAGAAAGTACGCCGCGTAGCTTGAAAGAAGACGAGGAACGGACGCGTCCGGGCGGCGCCATTTTGGTACCGCTGCGACCGAGCTACGCCAGCGAACGCATTCCTCGTTCTCGAGCGGAGGAAAGAAAGCAGCTTCTATCGGCTTTAATACACCGTGCCGCGTTCGATAAAGCAACAAGGCCGGGAGAAAAGAGCGTTTCCCGCGGAGCGGGTCGCCCCGTAATTGCCGACTTTCGCGAAACAGTCCTCGTGTACGGTTCACTTACGTTGCAAACAGTTTCCCGATACAACGAGCCGCGGGGGTGCAGCCGGCTCGTATCGGGCAAGTTTAATTGTCTCGACGCCGACGCTCGGAAAAAGGGACCCTTCTCGCAGGTGAAAAATATTTTGATCGATCGACAAAACTTCCCCGGTTGTCTGCCTCCTCGAGGGTCTCGCGAGGGCGTCCCTGGGTTAGATATCGCCGCGCGAACGGGCGTTTCGCTCTTCGCTCTTCGCCGTCACCGATTTCCTACCCTCCGAATTGCTTTCCACTCGTTTCTTCTCGAGATCCCGTGTAAACGGATGCCCCGGCGCGCGATTAACCGGCAAACGAGCATTTACTTTGCGCCGTGGTCGAGACGCGTCGCCGAGTAATCCGCGCCGATGCTGCGCGCCGATTCGGGGTGAAGACGGGTAAATTGAGGATGGCTCTTGGGATTAATAAGACATCCGGCCGCGTCGTGGAATTATCGTCGACTCTTCGGGCTTCCGTTAAGTTCCGTTAAATTCCGTTGAATTTCGTTGAATTTCGTGAAATCGTTGACGATAATCCCCGACGACAACGCGATTCCTCGGCGTGCCGGCCGGGGATTATAAACGAGCGCGTTATCGAAATGTAAAAGTTTCAATTTCGCCTCGCAACCCGTATTCCCTCTTCGCCACTCCATTTTAGAACGCGTACCGAGCTCGAGGAGCGGTGTTATTCCGCCGGCGAATCACGCCTCTCTCGCACTCTTGGTCTTTCGCTAATTCAACGAGAGGTAAGCTGGACGCGTTGTTTCGTCACGGTACAGCGATTCCATTCGTTCTCCCGCCGCGAGAGTAGTCGCGTTTCAGAGATTTCGCGATTTCGTTTGGACAGGCGGCCGGGTCGAGGCGTACGATAACAATGGCGGAGCAGCCGAGATCTCGGCGCGGGCCATTCGTCGCGAATTACGCGCGCTCTCGGGTCCGAGAGATCGCTGTTTTTCTTCTATTAATGCTAATTTCAAACATAGCCGAGTTATTTCGCGCGTCGGAGGAATCTTCGCGAGGGATAAACGAGGATACGATAGTCCGCGCGAGGAAGAAATGGCGGACGGTTGCAATCAGCTGGACAGCGTCGTTTCGAAGCGGAAAAGTAACGAGAGTGCAAAAATTCGCTCGTTCTCGATCGGTCGATCGACGCCGATGGAGCTTCTTCTCCAGTAGGCGGTTCATAAGTTGCGAACTCTATCCTGCGACTCGGACTCTGCCGGCCAGCCAACGAATCCAATAAACCCGAGGAAGAAACGAAACGACCGGGTAATCAGACCAGAGAATTCGCGTCGTGACACGGAGGAGGTACAAAGGGATCGCGATTGCGGTCCTCGCGTGTAAAGCGGGGGAAGGATAGACCCGGTGAATTTTCTCGTTGATCGTTTCGCTTGCCGTGCGAGTCACCGAGCGCTTACCGAGGCAAAGAGATCGGAGGAGCGTGGTGGAGAAAGAGGATGAAGGAGATACGTGATACAGAAACAAAGAGGAAAAAGAGATCGTATTAGGATGTTAATGTATTTATTATTCGATTGCACGGCTGGAAAGGATAAGGAGCGAGATGAACGAGTGCGACGAGGAAGGAAGAACCTCTCCGACTCAACGACCACGAGGTTATTAAACGTCAAACGACCTATCCTGACCTATCCTGTCCTGTCCTGTCCTGTCCTTTCTGGCTTCAGCTATTCCGAGGCAAAAACGGAAAGAGTCTGAAAAGCGGAGAGACGTCGTGTCCCCTGTACGAATCGCGTAATTAACGGTCGATTCTGTTCCGCCTTCAGCGTCATCTGATCGCGTTCGCACGACGGATTACCGAAAGTTTCCTCTCGGGTGCTGGCGATTCGTAAGATCGTCGAAACCACGCAACGCGTGTCACTCGGGGAGGAAAATTCGAAGAACGGGACCGACTCGCTGCCGCTTTATCGGCAATTTCCCGTCAGGAATGTACGACAGGCGTAATTAATTCCGCTGATCAGTGTCACGGGGTCAGCTGCGATCGATATTCGGTAGGACGTCTGGAACGAGCCTCGTGACCCCTGTTTCGGGAAATCACGCGTAACTCGAGCGACTCGCGGCTAATCGATGTCGTAAAAATGGCGAAGAGGTGCGCGGGAATGCACCGACGCGAGTCGTAGATACCGTGGATACGGCAAGGTGACTGCTGCTGGAAGGTATATAGACGCGAGGAGTGTATGGGTAGTGCAAACAAACCGACCGCTGATTACAGAGACTGCTTCTGACAGCCCATCAAATATTCCGCATTTACGTGTACGTCGACGTCACTGAGTATTCCGTGCCTGTGTTCATCGTCTCCTGCTCTCATCCCCGTCTTCGTTCTCTGTCCCTCTCTCTCTCTTTCTCTCTCTCGCGTGCAGGCTCTCCTCCGCCTGTTCCGCTGCCTCTTCCGTGGCTCGACCGAGTCGTCGGCGGAGGGTACGCAGCCATACGGTGGTGGCAAAAGGGAGAAAGAGAAGGCGGCAAAGGATAAGCAAAAGGATCAGAGGGAGATAGCGAGGGTGGAAGGGGGAGGGTAGAGTCTGAGGGTTTGCCAGCGTGGTACAGCTTCCATCTCTGGCTTCCCTCGCGCTTCCTCCTGCCTGTCCTATCTCCTTCCCTCACCAATTTCCCTCCGTAAATTCGATTATCTATAGGTATACTCCTCGTCGTCGTCGTCGTCGTCGACCGTGTCTCCTCTGTCCCGCTTTCCCTCCTCCTACCAGCCCCTCGACTACCAGCCCGACGACTCTTCAACCTCATCGGCGTCCTTCTGCACCTCCAACCTTATCCTGCTCGCTCTCGCGAGCCCACCGACCTCCAAGAGCCTGTGACGCCGGCGTTTCCGAAACTATCGCCGGGACACACACAGAGGAGCCGCTGGAAGATAGAGGTCAATCACCGAGTCGAAGGAGATAGACCACGGCGATGGCGGGGTGAGGAGGGAAGATCATTTTTGGACGAAGTTAGGAGACCCGCGCTCCCCAGGGACGCTACCTTAGCTCCGAGATTGCCGGCTGGAAAATATTTGACGCTCGCAGACACGAAGTTACGCCGAGCGGACCATGGCCCACAATTTCCACGTTCCCTTCGCCGATCTATTCTACTCGTTCGGCTCGTTTTCCCCGGGACAAACCCGCGCCGATTTCCGATTTTGCGAGCTCGCGTTACGTCGCGTCGAATCTCTCGTGGCTCCGAGCGTACCCCTCGAAACGCGCCACCCTTGTCGAGGAAGGGGGGGGGGAGCGAATGCAGGTGCAAAAGTAAATGACGAAGAATAATATCCATCTGGAAGCGTAAAAGCAAAATGGTGGAATTGCGGCCGCTTAAGGGAGGAAAATCAATAGCGGTCGCTTAAGGGAGCAAAATCAATAGCGGCCGCGACGAAAACTTTATTTCCCAAGCTTCGCTCGGTAAATATTGACGCTCCGCTCGCGCGCGTTTCAATGTAACGCAAATGTTTCCCTTCGTTTGCACGCGGCTGCGAGCGCGCAATCGTCCGCCGCCTGAAATCGCTTCCGCGCGCGCCGAACGCGGGGGGATAGATTAGAAGCCGGGGGGGAGGGAGCGACCGCGACGGGGGTTCCTCGACGGTTTCGGTCCGCGCTGGGAGAGATCGGGTGATCGAATTGGCCGCGACGACGAGGTCAAAGTTCGCGCGTGCCTGCGAAACATCGATTCGATTAACCCCGTCTGCAGAGACGCTCGGAAATCGCAGCGGCGAGCCGAAAAACGGTTGCGCGTTCCCAGCGCTTTCCGCGAATTTGCATACGCCTGGCGAGGCAGCGAACGGAATGCCTGCCGCTGCCCGTTCGTCTCCTTTATTTAAAGATCCGCCGGGTATTAACGATTTTCGCGTGTATCCGATGCACGCCAGAGGCGCAGTTTATCCGGCTGCTTGTTCAAGCGGGAGTGTTTTGAAAACGTGCCAGTACATGGATGCGCGTTGCATGCGCGAGGGTTCCGTGGAACACAAAAAACGAGAGACAAGGAGAGAGAGAGAGAGAGAGAGAGGGAGGGAGAGTGGGAGAGAAAGTGAAACGAGGGAGACGCGCGTATGGGTGCAGCCGTGTAGCACGATTCACGGCCGTGCTGTGTGTATTCAGTCTTCCCAATGAAACAGTTGTTATTTTGTGGTTGGCGAGTGCACTAGAGAGATACACCGTTGGAATGGAAAGCCTCGGTCGGATAGCAAAGCAGCAATATCGCCCTCTGTCCGATCCCAGTGCGCTCCGGTATGCGCTGCTATTTTTGCCTCGCCACCGGGCTGAATCTTGAGCAACGATCGAACGTAATGTAACGCTGTATCGTAGCGAGACGGCTGGCTGGATGGCTGCTGGCTCCGATGGCTGACTGCAACGATGCAGCGCAGCGTTACGATTCATCGAGCCCGGACAGTCAGTGGAGCGAGCGTACGCTCGAGTTGACAGTGGTATATCCCATTCGCCGTCAGACACGCGACCGCCGAGAGTCTTGCGGTATGCGGGTCTCGTTGTTTCTCTTCTTTCAGAGTCTGTCGAACCCCCTCGCGAGACACGCACCGGGGAAGCAACACCCTCTTGCGTTAGGATTTAACGTCGTCTCTCCTATGATCCTATTCGCCTCTTATCTTTCTGTCTCTCGATACTGTTTCCTGGAAATTTGGAAAAAGTCTTATATAATATAATATCCTTCGATACTACTGTCGGTAACAGGCATTTGTCATCCTCAGGATGGCTCAGAATTTAGTTAGCACGCAAACTTTGACAGTTCCAACCGATTCTACCGGGAGAGAAATATCTTCTACCGGGATAGAGATATTCCGATTTATTTATTTTTACCCCGTGTACCGTTCGCGCAAAGGTCTTCCGGAGGCAAGGAAAAGGATATGAGCGTGGACCGCGTCAACGCGACGGCCACGTGGGTATTCCGAAAACGGTAGCACCAGGCCTAGCTATATTTTCCCGGTATGACGCAAAGCGGTGTCCGAGGAAGCGTTGCAGGAAATTTAGTCCGACGGTCAGGTATCGACGGGATCTGAACCGGAATTTCCGATTGCGTGGCAGTGCCGTAACATCGGTGCTTCGTGGTCCGCGACGACGTTCGCGCGTCGTTCCTCGCGTCTTCCGTTCGCCGGTAGTACCTCGTGGAAGCTGAGAAAAATCCAGGAATTCTTCTGTCGTGCTTGTTCTGCCGTAGGTGGTACTACAACAGGAACCAGAGGGAGGAGTCGGTGGAGGACTCGTCGGGACATTACGTGGTGCGAGACGGTTCGTTGGTCATACAAGGCGTCCAGGAGACGGATGCCGGGTCGTACATGTGCACCGCCAGTAATTCCGAGGGCAGCGAATCTATGGAAGTGAAGCTAACGGTGTCTGCGCCATTGAGCGTGCACGTTCAGCCGTCTATCCAGACCGTGGATCTCGGGAAAGCGGCTCATTTGGTAATCGACGATTTTCCTGCTAGACTAACGTCGCTGCCTTCGCAACGCGGTGACTTATCCGCAGCTGTTCTTCGCGCTTCCTTGCTTCTCTTTCGCCTTATACCGTTGATTTACCTTATACTTTTCAATTTCGCGCAGCCATACGCCGAAGCCGGGTGTCACGTCGCGTGAAGGAAAACGACGTACGTGGGCCGCCGTTTATCGAGCGATATTAATAAGTTTACGGTTACCGGCGAGCTTGCGGCGGCTAACGTCGCGAAACAAAAGCGGGCGGGCGCGCAGCGAGTAGATGGGAATCTCGCGGGGCAGAGGGTTCATCCGCCGGTAAATTCGCTGGCATCCGAGCCATTTGCCGCGGCGATCCACGTCCCGGGGTAATCGGATTTTTACGAGGGCCACGGCGGAAAGGTTGATTCCGAGCCACGATGGCGCTCGCGTTTCGCCGTCTCTTCTCGCAGCCACCCCTCGGCTGCCGTCCTAGGCTATCCCTGTGCCACGGGGATGGCAATCTCGTTTTCGGAAGGAAGCGCGGCGGATTCGAGGTCGCTGGTACGACGAGGTTCTCATCGGTTGCCTTTTTCTCTAAACTGCTTTTCAGACGTGCAGCGCGAGTGGATTCCCGCAGGCGGCGCTGTACTGGCTGAAGGACGGTCAGCCATTGAGAACCGGCGCTCGCATAAGGGCGGTTACCAGGGAACGTATTTCCGTGATGTCGGTTGCAAGGGAGGATCGCGGCATGTACCAGTGCTTTGTGAGGAACGAGTATGAAATGGCTCAAGGAATCGCGGAATTGCGGCTGGGCGGTGAGTCTTTGTTTGCTTAGCGTTTACCGCGCACAGTCGCGTGTGGGTGCAGCGCGATCGTGTGCTCGTATCGCCGCGGGGGCGGAAACGAGAGGCGAGGAGAGAAAGAAAAAATGGCCTGACCGATGGAACATGCTTTCCCCGGGTGGTAATCTCGCGTGATACGGGGCCCGGATCGTTTTATTAAATCGTCGTCGAGCGTCGTTTGAACGGATATTCGAGATTGCCCGTTTAATTCTGTCCGCGTGCTACGTAATCGTCTTTTTCTTCGGGAAAGGGGCTCGGGCCAGCTACGCGTCCCGACGCCGCGTCCCGACTCCGCGTAATATCCATTATACAGTTTAAACGATTTTAAGCAACCCCCTGTATCCCGCTTTTTCCTCGCCGTCGGATAGAAGCAGCTTAACGAACGTTCCGCGAAATGAAACGTTTAAGACACTCCGGCGTGCCATCTAACGACGACACCGGCGTCGTCCACGGCCACAGCTTTCGATTGCTCCGCTCCAGAATCGAGAGAGAGAGAGAGAGAGAGAGAGAGAGAGAGGAACTTCTCGGTGCTGGTGCCGGTGGAAAGCTTGGACGCTCGTTAAACCCTCGCGTGGAATTTATATCCCGTTCCGACCACCCTCGCGACTTTGGAATCGGCTCGGCTAACCGAAAACCACTCGGTCCTCTCGATCCTCTTCTCCCCTTATTCCTCTTGGTTCGTTCTATTCGAGACGCCTTGACGCTGACACCGGAGAAACGCGGCCCAGCGGGGTGTCGGAAAGACAGACTCGGAGATGGAGGAAGGACGAAATGGGGCGGTCTGGCACGGTGCAGGGGCTGCGGAGGGAGGGTGGATTTGTTTGTCGAGCGAATGGTTCCGCGGTGATAGGTTGCCGGTGGTTAATGCAGCGGAACTCTTCCCCATACGATCCATTCCAGGTTTGCGTGCCACTCCATCGTAACGCGTTTTCCATCACGGAGCCGCACCGCTTTCCTCTGGGGAAGTACGTGCCATTTTTGCGCGAAAATGGCCGCATCGCTCTTGCGATCGTGCCTCGCGACGGAAATCGCTGTTTGCAGCCCGTTAATCGCGTCGCTCGCTCCGATCCCCTACGCTTTTAATTATTAAATCTCCGTCCTGACGGATTCGCGCGTGTTCCGCGTCGCCATCGTCGTCCATCTTTAACGTCCGATGACCAACTGCGCGTTCGAATCTCTGTGACGATCAGCTCTCGATCGAATCTCGCTCGAGGATCCATCGGATCTCGATCTTCTCGAGGCAAGGGGAGACAAAGAGAAAGGATGAGATGGCCGAACATGGAAGAGCGCGAAACAATCTGGATGTTGGTTGCAGGTTGAAGCGATAAAACGGACTTTTGACTCGGTGGCCTACAAAACGCTTTCGTCTTCTTCTTGCTCCATCCGCAGCCGGCGATAAAGCGTGTCAAACGATTACAATCGAGCGTTCGCGCCCAGGCCGCGTCTCCCGGCACGGTTTCGAGATACACCATCTGCAGCACTCGGTGACGCTTTGCCACGGCCAAGCGCTATTTCGATGTAAAACAGCCGGGAATGCGAGCGAAACGGCGATGTCTTGTTTTTTTCCTCGCTTTCCATTCACTTCCGCGTATCGGTTCCCGTCATATTTCGACCGGTCGCGATGCTTTTTCCATTAGCCGTGCATCCCCACGTTGTTCTCCCATCGCGATCGCGAGAGTTACGGCCACGAAGATTTCAATTAAAACACTTTTACCAAGGCAGATTGCCTTCGTCCGGCCGCGGGCACCGTTACACGGATAAAGTGTCCGCACGAGCGATTTCACGCGCGCCGAAGAGAGCAGGCCTGGTTTCACCCCGTTCCATCCTCTTTCACCCTCTTTCGCCCCGTTTCGCGGCTATCGTTCGACGTACCGAAACCCGCTCCCTCTCGTAACGTATTTTCCATCGCGAGCGTCGCGGCGCCGCGGGCATCACGCGCTATTTTTGCGCGAAAATGGCCTCGTTTGCTGTCCGCCGCTCACCGGTCCATCCCAGCGTGCTGCATTAATACCCTATCGAGAACCACGCGATACCCGAATTTCCCAGGTCGCCGTTTTCCTCCGACGATTTGCTCGCGATGGAAAGTTCCGCGTACTTTCGCCGCCATTAGCCACGAGCTAACCTCGATGGTCGTTGAAACTTGAAATTTTCTTCCCCGCGAACGAAAAAACGTCGGTTCTCGTTTGATCGACACTAGCCAAACGATACAACGGCGTTGGTCTCGGGATACGCTTGCTTTTCTTTCCATCGGTTCAACGATCCACCGTGGTCGAGTATCGGTGGTGAAACTATTTCCTCGGTAGCCGCAGCCGCCATTCCGCGGGGCGCGGGGTAATTGGAGAGACGAAGGAGAGTAGGTTCCCGATGGCGGGGTGCCATAGAAACAAGAACACTGGCAAACAACGGTAATGGATTCAACCTTTGAACGCTTCACCCGCAATTGCATCTGCCCGCAATAACTTGCCATCGCCGCCAGGTAGCCGCGCTAAGCGACTTTTCATTAGCTTTAAACTCCGCTACGATTCCGCCTTCGTCCAAGTTTCATCTGCCGGCTAGTAATCCCGCGAAAAGATTCGGTCCTCGCGAAGAATTCGCTGGGGAATCTTCGAAAGAGTTCCTCGCAGTCGAACGAGCGTCTCTTGGCCCGACTTAGTCGCGAAACCAGCTTTAGGTGGTCCAACGAGACATGTCAGCGGAGGCAGACGTTCGCGAGAAAGTAAAAAGCAAGTGCCGACTCGATCGCGTATTATTTATCCCTAGATCGCGTATATTTGGCACAAACGTGACAGTTAATGACGAAAATGAGCGCCATTGATCTAGAAATCATCGTGACTGTATCCTGTCCAATCAGACGAGGCAGAGTGTTTGGGTTTAGAATAAAAGTGACCACGTGTAAGAGGATTGACTGCAAAGAATATTTATGATAGAGGTTAGGGATGCGTCCAGAGTGGTTGAAGTACCTGGCCCACCCATGATTGAGAAGGAAGACCTGAGTATTGAAAGAATAAACTCTAATACATTTTCCGTTGTTTATACTACAGTTTATTTAATACTTAATATAATTCTGTTTTCACATTTCCATCTCCAGCACCACGTGCACAACCTTATATCCCCACGACGAGCAACAGACGACTGACGACTTAGCCATCCTTTGTCTTGTGTCGCACCAAGCCATCAGCACACAGATAAACAAAACACACCAGATCACATACATATGCAAATGTAATGTCCAATAAGTATAAAAGATAGCAGAATGAATTGTTTGGAAAGACAGTCTATCAGTTTCAGTTTACAGTGTCAGTTTATGAAAGTCAGTTGTAAGAGTCAGTCTTAACTCTTTGCACTCGACGATTTTTTGGCTAGAGAAGGGTAGAAATTCAAAGATTCTCTACTAAGAACCTGACAATACTTTTTTAAGCAGTGAATAAAAAATTGCATGATATTAGAATTGTAGAATCATTTGACTTCGATACTTGGCACACTGTTACATTGCGTTAAATTTGATATATCAATTGATATCGATCTTCCAAATTTTATGAAACCGTGACCGAAGCTCGCCTCTCGAGTGCAAAGGGTTAAGAAAGATCAGAAGAGTGTATCCACAATGAATCTCTCTTGCTTCATGGCTAATCGCTGTCATTCTATATAGAAGCTTATTTCTTTCTATTAAAAAGCCATCGACACTGTCTCAAGTTAGTTCAGCCAAAAACGATCCTACATTTAAGGCTATCTAAGTGTCTGTACAGACTCTACCCTGTCCGCACCTCGATCACGTAGAGTTGCTCTACCTCGTCTGATTGAACAAACTAGGGACAAAATGGCGACCGCAGGAAGCGGTCTGGAGTTCTTTAAACGAACGGAGCGAACATTTACTCGACTTTTCAAATCTATAATTCGTTTTCCATTGGCACGGATCAAATCCCACGCGTGTGGCTATACACTTGTTAGGCTGGTTGGCGTCGTTTTCCCCCGTGGAACCGATGATCGGATGAAGCGTGTCGATATTGGATAGTGGAAAATTCGTGGCGTCCCATTAGTTGGCAGTTGAAATTCTTCCCGGTCGCATGATTTCTAAGCTGCAGGGCATACAGTGTACATTAGGTGGGGATTGCCCGCAGCACGATGGGATAGTTAGTACCGCCACCCTGGATTTGCATACGCTAACGAGATTCCTGCGGTTTTGCCGATGCTTTGCATGCCGGCCCGGCACGATCTCGCTCCAGCCTGCAGCTCTGGCTGCGTCTATTTATTATGCGTCATAGATACGTCAGGGAAGAAGGCACGTCAGGGAACGGGAGGGAAGGAGACGCCGGGAAATGGGGAAGACGAGAGCGAGAGGGCGAGTGCTGGTAGTTACCGCGAGTACTCGCACTCTCGAGAAGCGAACGTCGCGTCACGACTGCCTCTATTAAGCGGGCCGTTCCGCTTTGCCGGAAAATTCGCCGATCGGAAACCGCGTTTCCGGCAATTGCCTCGCTTTCGAAATATATCTCGGGCAAGTTCGGGAGGAAATATTTGGTATACGAAGAAACCAGACGCGGACCTTATCGAGCGGAGTCGTAGAATTTCCTAGAATTTCGCGTACGTTGCATGGATGGATGCAGGTGTGCGTGCGTACGTATAATACGTAAATGACTTTTTGGGTTATCGACGTGAGCCGTTTCGCTGGGCCTCTCGACACGAAGCGTAGCCTGCGAGCGGGCTGCCGCGGGCAACTGGGTCGCGAGCATATTCGAAAGACGCGCAATTAAACGGTCGAAAGGAAATTCGGTTAACGGTCGCCGAGAGATAGGTTTCGTTCGACCGGCACGGATCGCGGTTACGACGGATATAACAAGGAGGAGGGAACGGAAGAGGACGGGCCTTAAATCGCGGCGCAAACGGTGAAATTTGCCCGCCCCTAAACGGCTGGAAATTAAGTTTCTCCGCGAGGCGCGACGGTGCCGGCGGATTTTTAATTTAAATTGCAACCAGCGCAGAACCGTCTAGCAGACGCGCCCGCGAGTACTGGTTATATTTGACGACAGCCTCGGCTATTATTTACACGGGGATTCTCGTTTTCTTCCCAGGCGAACGATAAACAAGCGGTCTACCCTGTTAACGTTTCATTAACATCAACCTCGTTCGCCGAACCAGCGCTTTTGCCGCACGAAAGTGTCTCGTATAACCGGCGAAACGTGCCGGTGGTCGGATTAAACTCTTAAAAAACGGGAACGAGATTTCAGAAATATTTGACGGATTTTTCCGCCGCTGCGGAAAGCGCGAACGCCGGGGAAGAAGGAAAGTTGCGTTGGCTATTTAATTTGCATAATTTTACGATAAATACAAAGCGCGGAAAGCTCTACCTTCGCGATATTCTCTGTCCTTTCTCTCCTTTATTTATGTCTTTTTCCGCCGACCGTTTCGAGCCGTCTTGGTAAACAGGCAACCCCGGGACAGCACGCTTTTAAAGATTATTCCGCGCGCTCGAGGAAACCCGGACGCAAAGTTGGCTTCGCGCAGCCAGCTCCGAAGGCGAAATAACGAGGCGGACTAATTGGACAGACGTAATTGTTAATTTACTAATAGCTTCCTTGGTCCGGCAGTCTTTTAATTATACGCGCCGTCCTCGCGTCGGCTCGGCGTGATTTCGAATTTTCATTACGTAGTTAGCCGGCTCTGGCCAAGGTGAAACGCGATAGTCCCGTCCCGCGAACGGTGTCGCCGAGCCTCCTGAATATACCTCCACTCTTTTCCACTTTACCCTCCGTGAATCACCTTACCACGGAAAATTCTCGCAAAGAGGATCGCCTTATAGCGCAACGCGTATCGTACTTAGCCGTTCGAGGGTCAGGGGTCATCGAAGGAATCTCTCGTGCAAAACCATCGAGTACCGTGAGCTTCTGTTTCGGTTCGTCCTGAAAAATGCGAAGCCCTCGTTGTTTACATCGTTGCGAGCATCGGTCCAATCAGGAAAGCAGTTTAACTCTTGAACGCATAGTATCGCGTACGGTGTCGCCGAGTATCGTGAATATACTTCACTCTCTTCCACCTAACCCTCCGTAGATCACCGTCGCCACGATTTCCGCGTCCACGGAAAATTCTCGCAAAGAGGATCGCCTTATAGCGCAACGCGTACGTATGTACCTGTGTTGTACTTAGCCGTTCAAGGATCAGGGACCTTAAAAGTACTCTCTCGTGCGAAACCATCGAATACCGTGACTCTTTGTTTCGATTCCTCCTGAAAAATACGAAGCACTCGTTGTTTACCGTGACTATCGGTTCAGCCAGGAAAGCAGTTTAGCATTTGAACGCGCGTATCGCGTACAGTGTCGCCGAGCCTCGTGAATATACCTTCACCCTTTTCCACCTTTCCACGATTTTCGCGTTCACGGAAAATTCTCGCAGAGAATCGCCTTATAGCGCAACGCGTACGTATGTACCTGTGTTGTACTTAGCCGTACAAGGGTCAGGGACCATAGAAGTACTCTCTCGTGCGAAACCATCGAATACCGTGACTCTTTGTTTCGATTCCTCCTGAAAAATACGAAGCACCCGTTGTTTACCTTGACTATCGGTCCAGTCAGGAAAGCAGTTTAGCATTGGAACGCACGGTATCGCGTACAGTGTCGCCGAGCCTCGTGAATATACCTCCACCCTTTTCCACCTTTCCACGATTTTCGCGTTCACGGAAAATTCTCGCAGAGGATCGCTTTATAGCGCAACGCGTACGTATATACCTGTATTGTACTTTGCCGCTCGAGGGTCAGGGGTCATCGAAGAAATCTCTTATGAAACACCGAAATCTCGTCGAGTGACGTCGCCCTTTGTTTCGATTCACCCTGAAAAATGCGAAGCTCCCGTTGCTTACCGCGAACATCGGTCCAGCCAGGAAAGCAGTTTAGCATTGAAACACATGGTATCCCATCGCGTTGAAACGGCCCTTTTCTGTACAAAATCCGCGCAGAGTGGTTATGCTTGGTTCGCTTGGAGTATCGTTAAAACCGAGGAGTCATTACGATGGAATTCGAACGTACCTTCAATCGCGTATCGCGTCCCGATGAAACGGCACTTCTCCGCGCTGAGTCTGAACAGCGCGATCATGCTTCGTTTGCCTCGAGTGCCGCTGAAACTGAGGGGTCTTTACGGTAGAATTCGAACATACCGTTAATTCCGCGCCGCGTCCCGATTTAATGACACTCTTGCGCGCAAAAGCCGAACAGTTAAACGACACCTGCTGGCTCTCGAACGGACGCAGACATCGCGAGAATCGAGAGGAGACTCGTAGAGAACGGTGGATCCGAGAGATCCGAAAGATAGTCGGATTTGCGGGGACAAAGGGAGGGAAGGGAGGGAAAAAATAAAGGAAACTCGGACGCGAAAGAAACGCCAAGTTTTCAGCCGATGTTTTTCTCGGATACACTTGACACTTGGCAGCAAGGAGGCCGACGTCGCAGGCGGAGAAAGCGTCCAAGTCGCAACACGCCGGGGCACGGTTGGGTGGAAGAATCAAGGTATGCATACGAAAAGTTGGAGGAAAGTCGGCTGTTATTTCGTAGTCGACGTGCTCGCGCTTATGAAGTTCATGAATTCATTACCGGCAGGGCTCGTTACGCGGGGCGGCACGTTCATTTAGAGCCCTCCTGGAACTGGAACGCATGCCTGCGAACGCGCCGCGGTTATTTTCAATGTTTCTTCGTTAAGTCGAGCCACTCTTAATCCCCGGGTTTCATTAATCTTCGGGCCAATTATTTAGTACAAAATCCTGCTGCTTATTAAGGCTCACTTAACGAGAAAGGACGCGATGGCAGGCTAGGAGGCCATCGAGATGGACGTAGCGAGGCCGCCATGTTGGTCGAGCCACGAGGCGTCGCGACTTTGCGGATTAACCGATTCGTACAGTTTCGATATCGAGTTTTCCTGGTTGGACTCAAAAATCGATGGCTCTTCTCCTGGACAGGAGGAAAACGTGTAAGCAACCCTGCTGTAACGTTGACCCGGATTCTGTCACGGTTACCCCCTAATAGTCGAAAACCCCGAAGGCAACGCGTGTCGCCGATTTTCTTAGTCGTCTAACTCACTGGTCCAACAACTCGACAGCGTTGAAACGCAGAGATTCGCTCGGTCGTCTGCCGAGCTCGTTTAATCCGACAGGCAGGATCGAAGATTAGACAGCGCGGCGCGAGGATAGAGCGAGGATAGAGCGAGGATCGAGCACGGAGTCTATCTCGTAAATAAATAGCCGGATATTAGCGGAGTGGTGGTAGCGGCGGGACGTAGAAGTAGGTGGTAATTAGCGGAGGAGAATCCAGGGTCGATCGGGAAGCTGGTGGAACGAGGCACGACGATCGTCGAGAGAGATTACGCTGGCAGAAGCGAGAAAGCGGGGCGGCGGGTGCGAGCAAGACGGAAGGGTGAAAAGACGGGGAAAGAGAGGGTGGTTAGAGGGAAAGCCGTGGAACGGCGTGTTGGTATTTCGATGCTTCGAGGTATGCGTAATCCGAGCACAACGTCTGTTAACAGAGATCGCGCCGCAGCTGGTCTACAGGTTTATCGAACAGACAATGCAGACCGGTCCATCGGTTTCTCTGAAATGCAGCGCCGCGGGTAATCCCACGCCGCAAATTTCCTGGCTGCTGGATGGATTTCCGCTTCCGCAAAACGACAGACTCCTGATTGGCCAGTACGTGACCGTGTACGGGGACGTAATATCGCACGTGAACATCTCGTCGGTGAAGTCCGAAGACGGGGGCGAGTACCAGTGCATCGCGAGCAGCCGCGCTGGCGAGGCCAGCCACTCGGCGAGGCTCAATATTTACGGTGAGTACTCCGTAGGGGTAAGAGCCGGAGAAAGAGACGGCGGGAGCGAAAAAGAGAGAGAGAGAGAGAGAGAGAGAGAGTAAAGACTGTTAAGGAGAAGAATCGCCGGCCGGTGTCGATTGAAATTGACTGGAAACCCCGGGGAATATTACCTTCTCTCTCTCTCGCTCCACCTCTCTCCCGCACCCACGGCTCGAATCGATCGCCGGGAATATCGGCTCCATGGGATCCTTTGTCATTAACCACCATTCTTGTAGACGTGGTTTCTGTTAATTAAAAACCGCCGCGTAGCTCTTGTTTTATCAATGGATTTACTACGCTCAGCGCCACTAGTTCCGCGTGTCCGACCAGGGCTAAGATCTTCTTACCTTGCCTTTTGCTTTCAACTTTCCGCGTAAGTTATCTATTCGCGCGATGGATAATTTACGCGATAATTGACGGCACCGTGTGACGACGGAGATTTTAGCTCGTACCGCGGTGAATCTTATTTTTCGTGACACTGGACGCGGATGGAAACCCGGAGGCCGCGCCAGAGGGGAATAGCTCGAAGCGAAATATATGTTTCGTTGCTTGTCAATCGCAGGTTTGCCATATGTCAGGCCCATGTCGACGGTTTCGGCGGTCGCTGGGAAACAGTTCCACATCAAATGCCCGGTCGCTGGCTACCCCATCGAATCGATCGTTTGGGAGAAAGGCGAGTATTAATATATGTCCTTTTATCCACAGCGAAGCGATCGTTTTATTTCGAGGTTACGTATCGCGATGGATCGCGATTACGAGATAAATTAATCGGTCACGTTGTCGCCAGACGGGGTAAGGCTGCCCACCAACATGAGACAGAGGGTCGCGAACGGCACCCTGTACATCGATACGGTGCAACGAGCCGCCGATCAGGGCACGTACACGTGCACCGCCAGAAACAAGCATAACTTCACCTCTCAACGTTCAGTCGAAGTGCGCGTTCTAGGTGAGTGAACTGAAAGCAAATATTTTCCGATACCGGTCTCTTTTGCAGGCTTCACAGGGCCAGGACGATTTAATTTGCCACGGTATCTGAACTCCACTGGTCACGTGCGGTGCACCCGGCTCATTCGTTTCCATTCCTACCTTCGCGCACCGTGTTTGCCGAGTTTTCATCCGCGAGATATTAATATGTAACCACCCCCGGAGACTTTTAACGTTTACGCTCCTTAAAGCGTCTCCCGCGTTTTCAATTTTCATTTCGCGCAATCGGTATCTCGGATCACGAGTCTCGCGATTATTTCGCTCTTCGAGGGTTTCGAAGGTTTGCGACAGCGACCGCGGTGAAAAATACGAATCCGGACGGTTTATTCGTTTACTCGTTCTACTTAACCATTATCGCTTCGAGCGAATCTCTCGTGCACCATTGACGTTTCGCGATACATGTTCGATTACGTTTTCTTCCTTATTCTCGTGTCGTTATCGCGTCCCAAACGCGACGATTGAATGCTCCAATTGCCGGTCGATATTCGGGCTAAATAGTCGCAGCGATAAAGGATAATTACCCTTACGCGCGTACGAGACTCCGCGTTACGCGACGTTCGTTGGGGGGTTGAAAATGGACGTGGAAACACGCGAGAGTGGCTGAAAGAAGGAAAGTCGTTCGGGCGAATCCGCGCCCGCAAAGAGCCAAGCCCGTATATGACCGTGCGTGACCATTAGAGATATCAAAGAACGATTATCAACGGATAATCACAACAGTGATATACCCGAAATTATATCATCCCTTTGTCCGATACGTTCTGCCCCATCCCGGCTCCCCGCCACTTGCAGCCGTCCCCTCCGTGATTTTCCATCCCCACGGCAATCGCATATTAATTACAATTCGCGTATGCATAACATCCCGGCGTGTTTGATGCGTACCGCCAAATTTACCCTCGCGCAAAATGTTTCTGTATTAGGTTTACGGAGCAAATTCCGTGTACTCCATTGTTCATCGCTAGGCGTGATTAGTTAACGCGAGGCAGCATCGCTTCGGGTTGCACCGAGTTTAATTTTCCGACCACGGCAACATCCGCGCCGCGAGGCTACCAGCTTTGCCTCCTCGTACTCGCGCGCTCCGCAACGCACCCCCTTTTCTCGAACGCACCCCCCGACACGGTCCTCGTCCCGCGACACTTTCCGCGTACTTGGCCGCGACTTCTTCGAGCGTTCACGCGCCTTTTCCTCCGCTCGTCCGTCCCCGTGACGCTCCATCGAACGGAGAGGAACGTTGAACGAAAGCGGATCGCGGGAGATAAATTCGATTCCGCGCAAACACTCGAGCAGTTCGCGCAGTTTAATAGACGTTGCCTCGCGTGAAGTCCGTGGAACGCTCTCTATATCTATGATTCCGACGCTGGCGAAGCGCGACGGAAGTTGGAAAAATTCGAGAAACTTGCCGTAAGTTGCCTCAAAGGATCCTCTCTCACTCTCTCTCACTCTTTCTCTCTCTCTCTCTCTCTCTCTCTCTCTCTTTCTCTCTGTCTTTCTTCACTTTAGCTGGCGCTCCGGTGAAGCGGGAATATCGTTGGCGCGACCCCTAATCGCGGCAGCCGGCAATCGTATCGCGCCGCCATTTTGTATACTTTGAGAAAGTACTTAAAAGCGATCCTCCGAGAGGCGAGCAAGCAATCGCTTCTCCGTTTCGCCAACCTTGCCGCGAAGTCTACCGCGTTCCCAAGACCGGTAACGCGTTGGGACGACCGGGGAAAAAAGGCAACTGCCGAAACTCTCCGGTTGGGAAATCCGATTCGATTAAACGTCGAAGCGTTCTCCGCGAAAGTGATACGTATTACGGGTGTCGATAGTTCTCGCGGCGTCAAAGTTAATTAACCTCCTCCTAGACGATTCCAAGTCGCTCGCGCTGACCGAGGCTGGGTTATTTGCCCTGGGTGGTCGGTATTTGCACGAATGGAATCGTGGACGCGATTAACAGACGCGAACCGGTTCGCTTCGTCTTAACCCGCTTCTACCGCCGCCGGAGCCATCGCCAGGCTTAAACTGCAGCAAAGGAGACAATGAAAAGGGAAGTGCGCGCACGGTACGCGTGCCTAGGATGCTTCTGCCACGGCTAAGTCGAGCTGCACGCAGCGAGGTCTTCGAGGTCTCGGGACACGATCCGGAAACGTTTCTCGAGATCGCGTGGAAATTTCTTAGGATAGCTCCTTGTCGTACGATCGTACGAGAGGGATCACGATGCAACGTGTGTATATATACATGTGCGCTAGGGTGTGTACGTGTGCGTGTATGCGTTCATCTCTCTCTCTCTCTCTATCTATCTCTCTGTCTTTCTTCTCTGTCTCTCTTCATCTATCTTCTCTATGTGCGTCAACGGATATCCGTGCGTTTGACAACACTCCGCGAACGAACCCACGCACCAAGAGCACAGCACTTCACTGCATCGCTCAAGCATCTGTCCTTGCACGCGCTCGCCTAACTGCTCTGTATATTACATCACGTACTACTACGTGTACTTTTGTACATAAAAATTCATAGCGCGCCGATGCCACGTACTATCCGGAGGGGTACGGGGCCGGTCCACGCGTGTACGAACGCGCGCGCTCCCGTCGCACACGGCCCGCTTCGGACAAACCCCGTCACTGGTATATAGCAGTGTATAGCAGTGTCTCTGATCCTCGGTTTAATCGCGTCGCGCATCGAGTCCTCGGCGCGGGACGAAACGCCTTGCCAGCTCCCAAGGAGGATCCCATGCGTCCTCTCCGCGACAGCGAGATAACACTGGGCAGAGGAAAAATATCGCTGACCGGGTAAATATCGACGCGCGTCGCCCGATATCGTTGCTATTCGCCTTTTACGTCCCGCGTTACGGTGGCCGCTCGTGACTTATGAAACATTTATCCTTATCCGTCGATCCGGCGTATAAAGCGATACGTTTCCGATAAACGATAGAGCTCGCTCAGCCGAAGCCGATTCGGATATCGTAAATTTGTTAGCCGACGTTCCGTTTACTTTACGTATCCACCTTCCGCGTACCTTAAACGAGCGATGCTCCTCGGCGAACCCCATCCACCGGGTTAATTCGCCGCGATCGAAACTACCGTCTACGACCCATTCGTGTCCCCTTTCGCCGGTCTCGTCGCGCGGAAAAATACCGGAAGCCGAGACGAGCGTGTAACTCTGGGATCTGGTAATACCGGTAATACCGGTAACACCGGGTACTCGCGGCGAAAGACCGGAAGCCATCGTCGGCGCGAAACCGCGATCGTGGCGAGCCCTCGATCGGAGTGGCGCGACTTTAAAATGGAGCGCGCCGTGTGTACTCGAGAGCGCGTGCACGTACCACCTGTACATAAATACGCTGTTGTCGAAGCATCGATATTCTATTAACGCGACACAGTCGCCGTTTCTTTCGCGCGATGCGCACTTCACCGCTCGAGCACGCCCCACTCGACGAAAAATATTGGCCGCTTATCGAGCCGCCTCGCATCGCTGCGAACGAGCTCGATTTCACGGGCAATTTTCATAATCGAGCACGAAGGAAACGCTCGGGCAGCGAAACAGCGACCATGCTTATAAACGCCGGCGAATTACGGCTCGGTTGGAAAGCAATCAACCGGAGTGGTTGTAACCGATCGATTGTATTCCGTTTGCGGGGGTGAAAATTTCGCGCGCTCCTATGGCTGCGAAAGTCCGTTTATCGGCACGATGGCGCTCGAACGGTGCTCGCGAGCCGCGAATTAATTGCGAAAGCTTGTCGACGCCGATATTCCGCGCGGGCCCAGGGCGAGGGGAATCTTTGAAACGAAAAAACGAGGATCGTTCGATCGTAGCGAGTTCATTAATACGATCCGTGCCGCGGCGAGGGCGAATTTTTCGCGAATTCCTCGTGCCACTCGTAACCCGGACGTTGGCGGAGGGTTGCCGGGGGTGGCACGACTGAACGCCGCCCGGGTGGGGGTTGGGAAAGTGAAAACCGATCGACGAAAAATTTTACGCCGCGCCGGCCACGGTTAAATATCAATTATCACGCTTGTTCCCCCGTAACTCGGCTTTCACCTCGTATACCGGGGGCAAGAAACGCGTTTCGTTACGATTATCTGGGGCCCGGGCTTGCTCGGGGCGCCTCGCGATGTTAAATGCCGAGATAAAAAGGATCGCGAGCGCGTATTCGCCCGTTGGGGTTGCATATGTAATTACGCGAACACGGTTCGGCGTGCGAGAATCGCGTTTCGTGTCGTTCTTTGATCGCGCGATTTTCACGGGCTCGTCTCGAGCAATTTAACGAGAACAATGCCGGTGAATCGCGTCTTTGAGGCGCGTTTTGCCCGCTACGGAACGCGGACATTGTTTGCGACAATTTTTGCTAATTTCCCTCCTCCCTTGGAGCAACGAACCAGGGTTTAGGAGGATACTCGCTCGGTGATTGGCAGTTAATTCTTAATCGAGGGGATTAAACGCGTGTTGCGTAACCGATGGAACGCTGTTCATTGGATTCCGATAAAAAAATAACTGCAACGCTCGCTTCATCCAATTAAACAAGTTACTCCGCTGATATCGGATTAATTCCTAACGGCAGGGATTAAAAAATTAGCCACGAGTCGAAGATCGAAATTCGGTTGGAAAATCGAGCGAATTAACGAATCGGCCTTCTTCGACCGGCAAAACCGGTGCTCCTCGAGTGAAGTTCGCAACGCGCGCTCCTCTATCTCTATCGAGCTATCTGTTTCTACACACATATATATATATATATATATAGACAACCGCAACGTGAAACGACATTCCTTTGTGTGTCGCGCATTAGGACACTTCGCAACGACCGGATTACGCTTTCTAATAAAATTCCGTCCCGCGTCCAAGGAAAGTATTCTTTGAAGCATCCTCAAAGCCGTTGTTTTCGGGTCTTAATTTAGCGATGCGCGCGGCCCAGGCATGGAAATTTAATTAACGCCGGTGTAATTACAAGCTGGCACAACACGGCCGGCCTTTGACCCCGCGCCGCTTTCATTATGTGTCAGACGTATGTACACTTTCGACGCGTATCGTCACGTATGGATCGTGCGATTCCGATCGTCGCGCGGAGTGTCCTAAGTGTGCCAGCTTTCTGTCTCGACCGGTGTCGCGGAATTCTCGATTTTTCTTTTATCCTATCGTCGCTGCGTCGTTAATTCGACGGCATCGACGGACGATCGGAAACCGTCGGGTCGACGCGTGTGCGTTCGGCCCGCATCTTCCCTCCCGATGATATATTTCTCGTCTGTCTTCCTCGACCACCATCGAACGCACACGGGATCGTCCGATGCGAGAAGGAAAAAGAAAAATATGGGAATAAAAGAAAATGCTGAAAAAAAAGAGAGAAAAAAAAGAAAATACGCGTTTTCTCTATATAG